TGTGCTCAGCCCCGGTGAGGGACAGCCTGAGCTGATTATTCCCACTGGTGTGCACTGTACTGGCAGGGCTGTGGTGCAGAGCTGTGCCAGCAGCAACTCCTTGTGTTTTTTGGGAGGGGGAGCCCATCTCCTGGGATGACCAGTCTGTGCCAGTAGGTGAGAGGGGTACCTCGCTTGTCCAGCCCCATTAATTTAATATCCTGCAGGGCTGCTGTGAAGGTGTGGGGTACTGCCCTGTGCTGCACGTTCCCACTCACCAGGAGGTAAGAGCCGTGCTTGTGCCTCCATCCCAAGGGAGATTTCATCCTTGAACTGGAGGAGGCAGCTGTCCTCTCCCCATGGCAGAGAGCAGAGCCCGCTGCTCGTGTTCCCTGAGGGCAGCCATGCCACAGCTCAACCCCAAAGCTCATGGGGTGCAGCAAACACCCCAGCACTGGCAGCCTGCAACCAACGAGTCTGAGCTCCAGCAGTACCCACCCAGCCGCCTCCATCCTTGCACCGCAGACCCCGAAGAGGAGCTGTGCCGGGGGTGGGGGCTTATCTGCCCCCCGCGCGGGCTCAGGGCTGGGAGAGCAGGGTGACCAGCAGGCTCTTCACATGGAGGACACTGGTGGCGGTGCTCAGGCTGGCCCAGGTCGCGCTGGTGGGCAGGAGGAAGAGCTCCCGCTGCCCGCTGAGCGTGTGCAGGGCCAGCTCCTCCCGCAGCTCCGCTGCACTCAGGGCATCGCTCTTGTCCTGCGAGGGAGAGAGGTGGTCGCTCAGGAGGGGAGCAGTGCTGGGAGCCACGCTGCTGGCTGGCAGGATCTCCGTCCTGCCTGTGCGGTCCTGGCAGGGATCGTGCGCAGGCAGGGCTGCCTCGCTCTTGCGCTGGAACCGCTTTGGCGCAAGCTAATGGGAAGCAGCACCAGGCACGCGCTTGGCTGCCTGCCTTGGGAATGTATTTCCCCTCGGCGATTTTGCATGCTGCTGCCTGGGTGCTCTCCTGAAACTCGTTAGCTGGGGCACTGCTAATGGCAGACTGGAGGAGACAGGCCCTGAGAAATCAGATTTTGCAAGAACTGGTGGAGTTTGGGTATCAAGATTTCCCCTCGGGGCCCTGGGGAGGGACAGTTTCACTGGGAACAGCTCTGGGGGCAGCTGGAGGGATGGACAGACAGACAGACACCCACCTGCTTGTTGGCCAGCACCACCAGGGGCAGCCGGGGCTCGGCAGCCAGCAGCGCATGCAGCTCCTGGCGTGCCGTCAGCAGGCGCGACCTGTCCACCGAGTCCACCACAAACACCAGTACGTGGGCCTGGCTCAGGTAGTGGGGCCAGTACGCTCGCAGGTTCTGGCTGCCGCCCACTGTGGGAGAGGGGCAGGATCAGGCACCGGTGTGGGGGTGAGTGGGGCTGCCACCTCCCCGTTGCACCCCGGGGAACCAGACCTCCCATCACCAGGGATTATCAGTGTCCCCAGCCCGGTGCTGGCAGGCAGGGGGGAGGACCCTCCAGGCTCTGCAGGCTCAGCCCTGGGGGACACACTGGGGCCAGGGCAGCCTTACCCTCCAGCAGGTCCATCTCCAGCCCACCGACGAAGAGCTGTGCAGAGTTGAAGCCATGAGTGGGTGCGATGCGGTCCCTGGCTGTCTGGCTGCAGATGTAGGGCAGGCCGCTGCTCTTCCC